GTATTTTTTACTAGTTATCTTCAGAAGATTTTCATTTGCAGTAGTTTTACTATCCATTTGAAACTAAGTCCTTAGAAAACTTTGACCATAAAAAAATGAGAATGAAGTTTAGTGCTTCCTACAGATGCATAAATTACTGAGTATAAAGCATGATTAGGAGCGTTCTCGTAATGGAGAATGCATGGTAGGTAGAGGTTAACATCACCATTCTGTTCCACATGTTTCTGGTGACTGCCTGTGTCCAATTCAGTACTTTTACTTTTTAATATTTGAATTAATAAGATTATCAAATACGTAAACACTCAGGACCCACCAAGGTATTGGATCTTGGCTCCTGTGCTTGGCAGTTTTAGAGTAGCACTTGAGAAAGCTCTTGCATTGTATTTTGCCTTACTGCCTGTCTCTGTGAAATGGGAGTATTAACAAGAACGGTTACAGACTGTGTAAGTTTTGTAAAGAAAAAGGAAAAAAACAATTTTTGAAAAGACCGTGTTCTTACATAAAGATGAGCAATCACAATACTGTCAAATGTCTTTTCTCCTCTGGTCTATCTAGCCTTCAATTCCCTCTTCTCACTCCACTTCAAAGTATGAAATGAGGCTGAAGAAATGTGTGGATTCCGGATAGCTCATTCAGTTTCCTTATTTGTTTGTTTATTTTTTAAAGACAGAGTTAGGGAGTCCTGGTTGGCTGGATTGGACTCACTATGTAGCCTGGGCTGGCCTTGAATTCAGACCTGTCTTCCTCTGCCTCCCAAATGCTGAGATTAAAGGAGTGTACTCCCAGGCCCAGCTCAGCTTACTGACATTTAATAGTCTGTCTAATCTCTAGAAAGCCAGGGAATTATCCTTGGGCTGGAAAAGGAGCTGGAATTTCAGAGTGGGAAAGAATGGAAACAGAAGATGACTAGATGGCAGATGACGGAAGAGGCACTTTGAATAGATGCAGCTTGTTGAGATAATTAAAAACAAAACAAAACAAAACATCCTCCTGGTGTGGGAAACCTCATTTCCTAATGATGGATACTCAAATTCTCAAAATAGGCCCTACAATGAGGAGACGTTCATTTTTGAAGCTTCTTGTACTTTAAAGGCCAAGATAGGTTAGAACCACGTGGCTTAGCTTGCAGATAGACTCAGGTGCTGTCTTGTGGGGTCTTCTGAGACACACTGATCAGGTAAGAGCTGGACCTGAGAATAGCAGTAGTTTTCAAAGACTGGATGAATGAGTTCCCATCCCCCCCTTCTGTATGCTTGTTGCCTTGGCTGGTGACAATTTTAATACCTCACTAAAAGGTTTAGTTACTCTGACAAATCAGTAAATCCTACTTCATAACCCATTATTTATCTTGAGACCAGCCTGGTTTCCATAACAAGTTCCAGATTAGTCAGAGCTTTATAGTCAGACCCTGTTTCAAAACAGAAACCAAACAAACCCCCTCCAACCCCAAATCAAGATACCCGCTTCCCCTGAATTTGGGTTTTTGCATCACATTCAACTCAGCACTGATCAGTATAATTAGGCTAATGCACATTTAGCAAAATTTGATGTTAAAATTGACAAAATATGTATTGAATCAGATTGGTGAGTGTTTGTTTGCTGATTTGCTCTAAAAATTTAAAAAATTATGCAAATAAAGTTTTAAAAGTATGTTGTTTTATGTATATTTGTAACTGAAACTGGCTAGATGTGTGGGCAAAGCTAACCTGTGTGCCACCTTGGCCTGAACTTGACCAAAATGCATTGCACTAGTTGAGAGGGGGGGAAAACATTTTGGAGTGTATTGTATTTTATTTTTCCCCCTAATTTATTCACTTTATATCCTGATTGCAGCCCTCTCCCTCATCTTTTCCCAGTCCCATCCTCCCTCCCTCTTCCCTCCTATCTCCTTCCCACAGTCCACAGAAAGGGAAAGTCCTCTTCACCTACTATCTGACCTAGCCTATCAAGTCTCATCATGACTGCCTGGATCCTCTTCCTTTGTGGCCTGCCAAGACCGCCCTGCCAGGGGGAAGTGATCAAAGAGCAGGCAAATGAGTCCATGTCAGAAATAACTACTGCTCCTTATACTAGGGAAACCACATGGAGACTGAGCTGCCTACGGGCTACATATGAGCAGGGTATCTAGGTTGACTCTATGCATGGTCCTTTGTTGGTCCCCCTGGGCCCAGATTTGTTGGCTCTGTTGGTTTTCTTGTGGAGCTCCTGCCTCTCCAGGTTCTTCTGTTCCCTCCACTCTTCCATAAGATTCCCTGTGTTCTGTCTATAAAGTTTGGGTTTGAGTCTCTGCCATTTGCTTGATTTCTCCTGTTGGGTGGAGCCTTTCAGAGAACCTTCTATAGTAGGCTCCCATCCTTTACCCTCTCTTCCACTGCTTTCAGTGTCTGTCCTGCCATTCTGAATGAGAATGAAGCATCCTCCCTAGGGCCCTCCTCCTTTAGGTCTGTGGATTGCAGTATGATTATCTTTTACTATAGGCCTAACATCCATTTATAATTGAGTATATACTGTGTACATCTTTCTGGGTCTGGGATACCTCACTTAGGATGATCTTGTCTAGTTCCATCCATTTGCCTGCAAATTTTATCATTTCCTTTTTTTTTTTTTTTTTTTTTTAATAGCTGAGTAGTATTCCATTGTGTAAATATATCACAATTTCTGTATCCATTCTTTTGTTGAGGGATGTCTAGGTTGTTTCCAGATTCTGGCTATTATGAATAAAGCTGCTATAAACATATTTGAGGAAATGTCCTTGTATTGTGGAACATCTTTTGGGTATATGCCTAGGAGTGGTATAGCTAGATCATGAGGGAGCGCCATTTCCAATTTTCTAAGAAAGCACCAGATTGATTTCCAAAGTGGTTGTACAAGTTTGCACTCCCATCAGCAAAGAAGGAGGGTTCCCCTTTTTCCACATCCTCTCCAGTATGTGTTGTCACTTGAGTTTTTGATCTTAGCCATTCTGATGGGTGTAAGATAGAATCTCAGAGTCATTTTGGTTTGCATTTCCCTGATGACTAAAGACACTGAATACAGGAGACAACTTTCTAAACAGAACACCAACAGCTCAGGCTCCAAGATCAACAACTAATAAATTGGGACCTCATGAAGAGAAGCTTTCGTTAAGGAAAGGACACTGTCAACAGAACAAAACGAGAGTCTACAGACTGGGAAAAGATCTTCACCAACACTACATCCAACAGAAGGCTAATAACCAAAATATATAAAGAACTCAAGAAATTAAACACCACCAAATCAAATATCCAATTAAAAAATGCAGTACAAAGCTAAATAGAGAATTCTCAACATAGGAATATTAGAAGGTGGAGAGACACTTAAAGAAATGCTCGGGCTGGAGAGATGGCTCAGAGGTCAAGAGCACTGGCTGCTCTTCCAGAGGTCCTGAGTTCAATTCCCAGCAACCACATGGTGGCTCACAACCGTCTGAAATGAAATCTGGTGCCCTCTTCTGGCATGCAGGTGTACATGCAAACACACATTGTATACATAATAAATAAATAAATCTTAAAAAAAAAAAAAAGAAATGCTCAATGTCCTTAATTATCCGAGAAATGCATTTTCCTCTTTACTTGTGCTACTTTAATGCTACATTTCCTCTCCTCCTTTCCCCATCACTTCCTGTTATACCCTCTCCCAAGCTTCCCCAACAAACACTTATGGTAAATATGGACTCTGCCCAAAACAGAGTCCTAAATTTTTTATTAATTACACTTTATTCACTTTGTATCCCCCCATAAGCCCCTTCCTCCTCCCCTCCCGATCCCACCCTCCCCCTTCTTCACGCATGCCCCTCCCCAAGTTCACTGAAAGGGGAGGTCCTCTTCTCCTTCGAGTCCTAAATTTTATACCAAGTCTTTTCATCTAAATTCTTTTAAGTGACACAAAAAAATTAATGGAAACAAGGTTTTTTCCTACTCATCTAAAATGTATGCATACCTCAAAAACAAAGCCAACCCAGTCAAATTCCAACCACTGCCCAATTTTGGGAAATGTATTTATTTGATTTCATGAGTGAGTGCTAAGCCCGAATGTGTGTCTGCACCACACGTCTGTCCAGTGCCCTTGGAGGTGAGAAGAGGGCATCAGATTCTCTGGAACTAGTCATTGATGAGCCTTCATGTTGGTGCTGGGAACAGAATCTGGGTCCTCTACAAGAACACCCAATGCTGTAACTGCTGAACCATCCCCAGCTCTGTGCCTCTTTCTTGACATGGCAAGTTTTACTTCTGAGTGGTAGCACAACTAAGCTAATGGGCACTGGTGTATGCATTAACTGAGGCACCTGATGATCACCTAAAATGTCTAATTTATAATAAAATATCAAGCTGGGCAGTGGTGGCACACACTTTTAATCCCAGCATTTGGGAGGCAGAAGCAGGTGGATCTCTGAGTGTCTGAAGCCTCTGTTCTACAAAGTGAACTCCAGGACAGCCAGGGCTACATAGAGAAATCCTGTCTTGGAAAAAGCAAAACAAAGCAAAATATAATAGAATCTCTGTGATTTCATATTGTGGACATGGCAATGACAACAGTTATTTTGACAAAAATCTTACTCTTGAAGTTTAGTCACCTAGAATATCAACTTGTAAAAAATATAGTTCCGTAGCAGGCAAGTACTGAATTTCTCAAAGGCTACAAGGGAAACAATGAAAAGTATGGTTTCTCAAAAGTAGGAAAATATTTTACATTTTACAGCTGTATTTTAAACGAGTCACCTAGAACAACATTTTATACAGGGTCATTTCAGTACATAAAGGCTCCAGCTTTACTTTGTATGTTATATAAAGTAGAAATATCGTAAGAAATGCTAGGCTGAGTATGTGGTGCATGCCTGCATTCCAGCCACCTGAGAGCCTGAGCCTCTAGGTTTACCCATGGTACCAGGAAAAGGGTGACTTTCATAACATGCTCCAATTTCCAAGAGATACATGTGAAAAATTTCTAAATTACTGAACAGCAGTGTAAACCCAGGCAGAAACTTGGTTTCATCATGAAATATTTTTATTAAATTTTTTTCTTTAAAATAATAAAAACTTAAAAAGCAAAGCTCTCACACCAGCCAAGTCAGAAAAAGCCAATTTTCTGGATGAAAACAGTGCTTTTTAAATACAGGTGGGCGGTACACAGCCACCGTGCCATCATACAGATGCTGAGAAGAGTCCCTTTCCGTGTCTACCATCTCCTGCAGCCACTGGCTTCTGCTTTGTCATTCACTGACATTTCAACCCTGTCGGCTACCGTATCATCAGATGTTGATTGCATGTGACCTTCTGATTGTCCTCCAGTGTAAGTGGGGGTGCTGTACTTCAACAGGATGGATTTAAACTGCACCAGAGGGGCATCTGTACGAATACCCATTGGGTCAAAGTGAGTTCGGCTTACTCGAAAGCCTGCTTGGGAAAGACAGCACAGAAACTTTTTTAACCTGCAATAGGGAAACAAAGTTATTAGGCTCTCATGTTTCTACTTACATCACAATGTTATTAAAATATGAAATGAACGTTTGGCCACTGGCTGTCTTACTTTGGCATGTTCATCCCTTTAATGCTGTGTCTGTGGATGTTGTAATAGAAGGGAGGATGTGCAGAGCTGGCGTCACTCTTCTGCTTCTTGGCTACGTTACTGACGGTTTCATTACTTTTTCTCTTCCCTGGAACACGCACACACAGAACAAGCATGTTCTTAAAAATAAATGCAGGTTTAAATGCTCTTAAAATCGTGTTGATTACCAAATTCTCGCTGACCTTCACTCATGTCACCTATCCAGCTGCTGCTTGATGAAGAACTTCCTTCTACCTTAAGCCTCTGCTGTTTGAGCTTCTTGTATGACCCCTGTTTATGAATCCACACAACACCAGTCCAGAGCCTGGCTAAGCTCTGTCCTTTTTCCACAGTGTTGTTTGCAGGGCTTGTGAATGTGTAAATCCTTTCTCCCTAAATTACAATCTAGACTCCTAGAGACAATGTCATTCTTTTCTTTCTCTTTATATCTGACTATTCTACTGTTACATAGTTAGTCCTCAATGAATGTGAAAACAAAAACACCACATATGAAATTCTCAAGGAAAAAAAAAATCTTGGGCTGGAGAGATGGCTCGGGGGGTTAAGAGCACTAGCTCTTCTTCCAAAGGTCCTGAGTTCAATTCCTAGCAACCACATGGTGGCTTATAACCATCTATGGTAAGATCTGCTGCCCTCTTCTGGTGCGTAGGCATACATGCAAGCAGAACACTATATTAATTATAATAATAATATTTAAAAATAAAAGGCATGGTGGCATATACCTTTATTACTAATACTTGGGAGGCAGAGGCAGGAGGATCACTGTGATTTGAAGCCAGCCTGCTCTACAACGTGAGTCCAGGACAGCCAAGACTACACAGAGAAACCCTGTCTCTGAAACAAAAAACAACAAAAATCTTACATCAGCAGTGAAGAGCACTCACCACTCCACAAAGAGATTCAGTTCTTAGCACCCAAACAGTGGCTCATAGCTACTGTTTACTGAGGCTCCAATGGATCAGTGCTTTCCTCTCAGGGTATCTGCACTTACATGTGCACATGACTTCCTCTTAACATGTATGTGATTAAAAATATTTATAAAACAATACCCTTACTTTACTATTGTTCAGAGACTGGGTGAACGACAATACACACAGGCAAGAATTAAAACACATCACAAGTTTCATGAGTGCTGTCACAGACTGATAAAAGTGCAATAAATAGTCTCCTTGCCTATTTCTCAACACCACAGTACTTAGTCTTTACATGTTAAGCGAAATGAGGCAAACAAGTGATGCCAGAAGTGCATCTTTCCAAAAGGTTCACATGAACGCAGCACACAAAGTAACTGAGTCTTCAAATACTAAAAGGAAATTTGACTTGAACTTTCAGACTGTGATAGTATGTATTAGATAGGTCTTACTCTTGTCCAGGCTAGTTTCAAAGCTGTGAGCTCAAGAGTTTCTCCTGCCCAACCTTCCTCATTGCCAGCACTACAGGAATGTGCTGCGGAACCCAGCTAAGTCTTGATTACATGTAGGGATTATCCTCACACGCTTTTTCAATAGGACAAACAACTGACATATGACTAAGGCAAATATAGTGCAGGAAAATGGTATGTGATATGCGAAGATAAGTTATTGCTGAACTGTTTCCTTTCTACAATAATATGCAACAGCAACTGAGAACTCCCAATTAAAATTAAACCAGACAAGTAAAATTGATACTATTACATGAAACCAACATGGCACATAGTGGAAAAAAAATACCCATTTGTAGAACAAATTATAAAATCACCTATGATAAAGAAATCAACACGATACCTTAACACTAACTATTAGAAGCAGCATGTGGATTTTCTTTTTGCCTGTGTTGTACTGATAGTCTTCATATAAACATAAAGGTCTATGGCTATAAAAATAGCCCAGAGATTAGTTCAATTTTCTTAACTTAGATGTAAGAAAAAACTTACAAATTTAAAATGTCTTAAAGCATATTTATGTTTTACTTTCTGTGCTTAACAACACAATGAGGTAGAACAGTGCTCAGAACCAATGTGCAGTACAGGTACAACACACAAGTGCTGCTTTGTCAGTCCTCTACTTGTCAGCACACTGGAGCATTTTCAGGGATTTGCATTCTACCAAATTAGCTGACGGTGCTAAATAGACAGGACTGGTGATTTTATTAATACATATTTTATATTAACACATAAAATTAATACACACTATATTATACATTAATACATATAAAATTAATCTGTAACAGTATATTATTATACATAATTAATATTACAATATATTATATATCAATGCATATATTTATAATACATATAAATTAATATATAATATATAAAATGTGTATATACATACACACACACACAAACTGTTGTTTTGTTGTTTTTCTCAAGACAGGGTTTCTCTGTGTAGCCTTGGCTGTCCTGGAACTCTCTCTGTAGACCAGGCTGGCCTCGAACTCAGAGATCCGACTGCCTCTGCTCTCTGAGTGCTAGGATAAAAGGCATGTGCCACCACTGCCCAGCTAAACCATATACTTTTAACAGGAACTGTAAGTTTTCTTTTCATTGAAGATAAACATATAAGTGAGCAACTCTAATACTACAATATTATAACCTGTAATTACAGGCTTTAGTGCTGTGTATATTTTGTTTTTAAACCTGTATTTATGACACATTTAGAATACACTGATACTTAATAGTACATATTACAATATATACATACCCTGTGTACTGTAAGTATCTATTGTGGTATCATCGGTAGTTTTAATAAATACACCATTTTCTTCTAAAATAAAAACAAATGGGAAACATATTTATAGATGACATTAACAACTTAATGTTTAAATAAAACTGGAATCCTACCTACATTTTTGAACATACAAGAACAGTATTTTTAACTTTTTGTGCTAGCAAGATAGTTCAGCAGGTAAAAGTGCTTGTAATCTGAGTTCAATTCCCAGAACCCATGGAAAGGCAGGACAGACCTGACTGTGTAAGTTGTCCTCCGATCTCCACACATGTGCCTCCACACATGGTAATGCTAATGTTAAAGTAAATTTTAAAAATCTCTTTTAGGCTGAGCATGGTGGCACAAATCTTTAATTCCACCAGCTAAGCTAAGCCAGGTTAAGACCTGTCTTCAAAAGAAAAACAAAGGATATACTTTACGTCTGCAACAGTAACCTCTTTTGATTACTTTTGAAAGCATAAAGACTAGTCTGCACCCTCCCTTCTATCAGCAGCCAGACACACTGATACTGCCTATCTAAGGAGTAAAGACCAGCTTCACTAAGGGATATGTAAACCGATTCTCTGCAGTTCATTAGGTATTACTAAAACCTGTGGCTATGGCACTCCTACAATTACCTATAGTTGTTCTCTAGAGAAGAGTAGAAAGTGGACAGAGGCTTGACAAGAACTGTAGTGTGTGCCCAGCACTTTGGAGGTAAAGGCAGGAAGATCAGGAGTTTATTGCCAACCTGGGCTATAAGCGTCCTTGCCTCCAAAAAAACCAAAAAAAAGTAACAACCAAATTATGATTAGACTCACTATGGAGGATTTACTTAAAGTGTACTATTACATTGCTTATAACATAATGGGTCATCTAACAAGCTAGTCACCTTGCTTGCTGGGATCTGAAGGTACATGCACTGAACACTGACTGTGGGGAGTACACTCTGACTCAAAGATTAACGTCTTTATTAGGGGCTGAATGTCATCCAAACCATGATGAAGAGATTCAAATAGCATTCTTTTGAGGAATCCAGTATTGAAAAGGGAGCTTGACCTGGAAAAGAAAAAGTGTACAGAAAACTGGGCTTGAGAAATGTTTATTTTCTTAGAAAAATTTCCATAATTATACAACTAAAACATATAACAAATTGTAGGATAGAGTATTATTAAAATTCAGAAATTTTTGATTTAGATTTATATACAAGTTCCTCATCCTTTTTATCATGTTAGCTCTGTAAATTAGTAAGATTAGCCAAAACATTTCATTTGCAGAAAATCGACTAGAATTTATTGGCTCTAAGTTGCAGAAGACTAGGGAAAATGGAGTGGGTATCCAGAGAGCACAGTCAAACAGGAAAGACAATGTTGACTGTAAAAGTCTGAAAAACTCTATAAATGCAAACAGAACACAATGCAAAGCGTAAGTTTTTGCAGTGTACACTCAGCCAGTAACAGTTATTCTCCATTTTGTTGCCTATGTAAGGACTATAATTTAAAAATGGTCCAGGGTACTACCACATCTTTAAACCTGGCACTGAGGAGGCAGAGACAAGATCTTTGTGAGTTCAAGGGCCAGCCTAGTCTACACAGGGAGTTTCAGACTAGTTAAGGCTACATAGTGAGGCTGTTTCAAAAAGGCTCAGGGATGAATGCTTCCATTTAAATTGAGCAGCACGTATAGATAACAAAATGTGAATTCCAAGTGTGAAAGCCTGGGCTCTAGCCCTGGCTCTACTTACCAGCTATGGAGGTCACCTAGAGCAATAACGACTGTTTTCTCCTCCTAGGACTGGGGTTTGATCCTAGAGCCTTATGCATGAGAGATAAGTGCTTTAGCACTGAATCTATCTTCAGCCAATTTTTTTTTATGCTCCCTCTTTCCAATAGTTTCCCTGACAGTTTCATTAAGCTGCCCATGTTGGCCTTGAACTCACAGCTGTAGTCCAAAACCTCACTGTAGAGCTAGCCTGGACCTTGTGGTCCTTTTGCCTCAGGAGTAGCTGGATTACTGACTTGTACCATCAGGCCCCGTATCTCCTTCTGATTCTTACATTGCTTATCATGACACTGTAAATAAAACTCACAAACTTGTTATAGGAATGAGACAGCCTGTGTATCATGCTTTGCACAAAGCTTCTTCACTGAGTAGTGGTTATAAAGTAGTAAACATAAATGTTAAATAATGAGAATACTGAAAGGACCACTTAAAAGTTTAAAATGAGCAGTCAATGTGAGATCTGCTGAAGAGAATTTAATGGTTGCATGTGTTGGGACATTAAGGAGAGAATGAAGTGGGAGTGTAACCTAGGCTGACGTTGGGAGGAAAAAGATTCTGGCAGACAGTGGATCTGAGTGAGAAGTCAAAGATTCCTGGCAACATCCTGGCATGGGATTTGGAAAAACTAAGTTCCGGCCCTGACTTGCTAATAATAATTATCATGATTATTATTATTTTGGTCAGATTTAGCAAGCACTTAAAAACACCATCATAATTTCCTTGTTCATAAAATGAGGAAGCTGGCTGGGCTAGATCATCTTGCTGGAGGCAGCAACCTGTTAAGTCTCAATTTTTGTTCTGTAAGCAGTGAGAAGCATCACTGTGTACCAGAAGGTAGGACTAGGTCATTCATGCTCCGGATGTTTGTAAGAGGTAAGCGACTCTGCCTTTAAAATAAAAGATTTATTGTATTTTAAATTATGTATGAGTGTGTGGGTATGTGTATATGAGTACAGGTACCTATGGAGATCAGAAGGGGGCACTGCGTTCCCTGGAGCTGGAGCTCCAGGCCGTTGAGAGTCACCTGATGTAGGTGCAGGGAAGCAATACCCATCCTCTGCAAAAGCAAGGGCTCCTAACTGCTGGGACATCTCTCTTCTCTGAGACACCACTTTTCAAAAACAAATCAAAACAGCTTCTTTCTTACTATTCAGACACAGGTTATTGAGTTTGCAGATTCAGCTTACCTGTCACCCTATTAGCTCTTAAACTATTAGAGATACCTGGAAATACTCAAGTTCACAGGAGAAGGGGGAGTCATTATCATTTACTCAGACTTCAAAAGTTGACAATCAGTAAATCAAACTTGAACACTGTATCTAGGTACATACCACAGAGGCCCGAGTTCTATTGCTGTCTTCCCAGGCATGCTCCCATGACAATTACAAGGCAGCTGTCTATATGGGTTTTCTGTAAAAACAAAATATACATACATATCCATATATATAGGATAAATGACAAATGTAAGTGCTATAACTGTTATATTAGTAACTATATTCTGAGGACCTACGATATATCAGGTACTGTGCTAAGAACTTTATATGGATTTGAAAACTTAATCCTTAAAACTCTTTGAAGGTAAGTACTGTTAAAAATCTTAAGAATGGCAGTCATGGTGGTACACATCTTTAATCCCAGCACTTGGGAGGCAGAGGCAGGCGGATCTCTGAGTTTGAGGGCAGCCTGGTTTACAAAGGACAGCTAGGCAGAGGGATAGACAAAGAAACCCTGTCTCAAAAAGAAACAATATGTATTATATATATATATTATATATAATCACTAGGTGGAAATGTTTGCAGTGTTGAGTAGTGGGGAAAGAATTAAAAATTGATGAGGTTGAGAAAGGCAAAATGATTTTTGCTCAGAAGTGTCACCAGTGCCACACTGTGAAAAAGGGAGGCACGTTTAAAGCTGGACCAAATCTTGATGGTCTGTTTGGGCAGAAGCCAGCTCAGGCCACTGGATTCCCCTACAGAGATGCCAAGAGCTGAGGTATCACCTGGAGAGATGATGCTGCTGGAGTGCTGGAGCGTCCCAGAGAGTACATCCCTGGAACAAAAATAGTTTTCACCGGGATTAAGAAAAAGGGAGAAAGAGCAGACCCAGTAAGTTATCTTAAAAAGGTTACTAGTGAGTAATACCACTCCCTTATTTATTACAAAAGAAGTCTCATAGTTTTAATGTATGCCACAATTGAAATCATAAATTAAAATTTAGATCATGAATAGGGGACAGAATATTTTTTGTTGAACAGTTCTGATTTGAGGCAAAGTGGATATGATCTTTAAAAATAGCAATTCCAGGAGCTAGAGAGATGGCTCAGAGGTTTTAAGAGCAAAGGCTGCTCTTCCAGAACCATCTGTAATGGGGTCTGATGCCCTCTACTAACTTTCAGGTATACATGCAGACAGAGCATTCAGATAAATAAATAAATCTCTTAAAAAAACAGCAATTCCAGGGGCTGGAGAGATGGCTTAGTGGTTAAGAGCATTGGCTGCTCTTTCAGAGAACCTGGGTTCAATTCCCAGCACCCACACAGCAGCTTACACCTGTCTATAACTCCAGTTCCAAGAGATCTGATACTGTCTCACCAATGCACAAAAAAATAAAATTAAATTATTTTTTAAAAAAATAGCAATTCCAGCTGGGCAGTGGTGGTGCACACCACTCAGAAAGCAAAGGCAGGCAGATCTCTGAGTTTGAGGCCACCTGGTCTACAGAGCAGAGAAACCCTGTCTCATAAAACAAAACAACAACAAAAACCAAAACAAACAAACAAAAACAAAACAAAACAAAAAAAAGTTCCAGTTCTGTAAATACTATCACTTCCACAAAGCTGGGGATAGTACTTGATAGTACTTTGAATGTTTTTTATACTTACATGACTGGCTATCTTAGTATGTTTAAACACCAGGAAACATCTCTTTACTGTCTCAGAACCAAGCAGGAGCCTTACCTGCATTTCAATTTGTGTCTGTTGGCCTATCACAGGCAGTAGTTAGACATCAGGTTCAGCACTGGCATTTCCTCTGTCAAAGAATGCCACCTTTTACTACTGAAAGGCATTTTAGTGTGGCTTGTGTATGATGTAAAGTAAAGAGTATTTAATAGTTAAAAACAAAAACAAACCAGGAACCAACCACTCGGTGGGCAACAGTGCTTGCTACTCAATCATGAGGACCTGAGTTTGAATCCCTGGCACTCAAGTTAATAGCTGAACAAGGACACACACAGCACCCAGAAGCCCAGCACTGTGAGGTGGCAGGCAGGAGGATTGGTGAGGCTTGACAGCTGTCGGCTGAGTCCCAGGTTCAAGGAGAGCCTGTCTCACAGGAAAAATGAACTGGGATGCCCATGTGATGCTTTTAGTCCCAGTATTTGGCAGAGTCAGATGCAATAGATCTCTGGGTGGAGGCCAGCCTGTGCTACACACAGGCTTTCAAAACTCAAACAAATAAGAACACCCAAAAGGAGCCTTCCACCACCAAATTAGGCTTTCTGTATAATGTTCACCTCAGAACTGATCAGTAGATCATACTAGCGAGCATTTAGGAAAAAAAAAAAATGGAATAGGGCTGGATACGCACATACACACGCACACTCAAAAAACAGATACACTAAAAAAACCCTCAATCACACAGATTACAGGATTAAATCTTAAGAGATTAGATTTAAATGGCTTTTTAGAGGCATAAATGATACTTTTAATTATAATAATACATAATATAACAAAAAATCCACATAATTTTTATATTTCAAAATTAGCTTACTGAGATATAATTTCTATGCAACAAAATGTATACATTGTTTATTGAAAAGTAAATGAGTTAAATGTGTGTGTGTGTGTGTACACACACACACACACACACACACACACACACACACACATATATATATATACCCATTTAAACAACATCCTAATCAAAATATAGATTTATTTTACATATCTTACAATTTTTTTGTTTTTCAAGACATGGGGGTTTCTCTGTGTAGCCCTGGCTGTCTTGGAACTTGCTCTACAGTCCACGCTGGGCTCGAACTCACATAGATCAGCCTGCCTCTGCCTCCAGAATGCTGGGATTAAAGGCATTTGAGGTAACAGTTGTTTTGCTATATTGGCTTCATTCAGTCAGAAGAATATAGGCTAGAAGAATCTAATTCAGTTTAGAGACCAATGAGTGGCTGATACAACAGAAAAGAAACTATTATTAGTTTCTAAAATAATATGATAGTCTATCGTAGAACTTTAAAGTTCACTAAAGAATAATAAACTTATTTATTTATTCATGCTAGTGGTGCTTGGGAGTTGAACCAGGACCTCACCCATGTTAGGTTAATGCTCTTGTACTACTGAGCTACACCATGAGCCCTCAAAAATAGCCCTTTCAAAAATTACATTAGAACTTCAAGAGGGAAAAAAAAGCCAGGAATTGTACACATGCCTTTAATTCCAGGGAAAGACAGGAGGATCTCTATGAGTTCAAGGCCAGTGTGGTCTACAAGTTTCAGGACAGCCAGGGCTGTTACACAAAGAAAGAACAACAATCAAAAAAATTAGACCCTCTCACCAGGCATGGTGATGCATGACTTCAGGCCAGCCTGGTCTACACAGTGAGTTCTAGGACAGCCAGAGCTACAACAGTGAGACCCTATCTTGAAAACTCAAAAAGACTTCTTGAACTAAATTTTCCTTATTCCAGGTTATCTGTAGGTTGACCACTGCCTTTTTTTGGAATAGCTTGATGAAATAAACCACTTCTAGTCTATATAATAGTATTATTTTGTTACTCAACAAAATTAGTGGCTGGGTAGAGAAGCTCAATTGGTTAACTGCCTGGCTGGCTTTCATCCCTAGTATAATAAAATAATGGGTGGGGATGTGGTTCAGTTGGTGGAGTGCTAACCTAGCACACAAAGCCCTAGGTTTGATGCGAAGCACCCCACAAAGCAGGCCCGGGAGCATACCTATAATCTAAGCATTGGGAGGTGGAGGCAGGAAGGCCTCTACCAGCTCAAAGCCAAGGCCAGTAAGATGTCTCAGAGAGTAAAGGTGCTTGCCACCTTAGTGACAAGCCTGATGACGAGTGTTTGGACCCTCGGACTCACATGGCTTGAGGAAAGAACTGACTCCTATAGGTTGCATTCTGATCTTCTCATGCATGCCTTGGCAAACTCTCTCACACACACAATAAATAAATAAAAGCAATTAAAAGAAAACTAAAAAAAGTTCAAGGTCACCATTGGCTGGGATATATGATATACACTGTCAAAAAGCTAAAAAGCATCAATTGGTGTCATAGAGGTGTATGAATAGACACCAAAAACAGAAAATCCAGAAACAAAATGTGGGCTTAGTACAAGACAAAGTATGTACTGTCTTCTAGTCGGGAAGTGCTGGCCTAGTCAATAAAACCTAACCTCCCTGGAAGTACCTAGGAATAGTAATTTCCTTACAAACAAAAGCCAGAATATAGGTAACTTTAACATTAGCAACAAACAAACATCCCCCCCAAAAAAAACCCAAAACCTAAATTAAAAACAAACAAAACAGAAACAAAAACAAAGCAAATTGAAGCATAGGAAAAAACAAAACAATCTTACAATTTATACAGAAAGGGGTAAACAACTTTAATTTGTAGAGAGCTCTTAAAAATTCACATCCGAGATCCGAAGAGATACTTCAACAGAGCACTGGTTGCTCTTCCAGATCATCTGGGTTTGATTCCCAGCACCCACAGCTGGGAATCACCCACACCACACTCATAATTGTCTGTTACTCTAGTTCCAGGAGACCCAATGCCCTTTTCTGGCCTCTGTGGATACCAGGCACATATCAAAATATTTATGCAGACAAACCCCCTATATACATTAAGAAAATTCACATTAAAAAAAATACCAAGAACTTAATAGACAAACAGTGGGCAAGACTGTTGCTGTGTCCCAAGAAAACAAACAAACAGTTTCCTACCAGCATGAGCTGTAGTTTTCCCTGTTCATCCTAAGGCCTGGCATACAGCAAGGACATAATGAATATTTACTGAATGATCTTTCCTGTGTGTCCCAAGGCCTGACACACAGCAGGGACTCAATGAATGAATTTTATAACTGGTAGCATTTAACTAGAAATGTGAAAATAGTTTTTATAAAATTAATAATTTATAATAGTCTAGATACATAGATGATCTGACTTATGTTCCTAAAATTAACTGATAGTGGAAAAACTATGTTATCTCCAGGTGTCTCAATAAAGGACAGGGCAAGGGTGCTTCAGTTCTACACCAGCTGTGTTTAAAAGCACAGCGCAGTATGGATAATGAGGGACACGATGAAGATTCATTTACTGAAGGCTGATAGGAAATATGCAGGCCAGGGGAATTGCATTTTACCTTCTACCATATTACCATCCTTCTGAAAAATCCTTTCTTCACACCACTGGCAGTGGATCAGGTACTGGACTTTCTTGGCAGTCTCATCTGCTGAAGTAGGCCCTCTTAAGACTCTCACCACCACCAACACAAAGTGTTCCAGAGCCACTGCAAATAGCACTTCTATACCTTTATTGCACCGTGCTGCAGCTCTGTTGAAAAAAAAAAAAGCATCACAAACTATTTTGACAGCTTATCATTTCCTTTGTACAGCACTGTATTGATAGCACTAACAAAAGATCATTACCATGACTTTCATACACATTAAAGTACAGGGAACACAGTTGTTAGGCAAAGTCTTCAGTCTCTAGACACTTCTTAGGAAAAGAGGACTATAATCTCTGGTTTTCAGCATGACTGTTTTCTGTAATCGTGATTATTAGTCTGAATTTAATCTGTTTTTTTCCTTAAAAAAAGCATCTTCCAAACCACATATATTTATTTAATACTGACCATATTCAGCTAGTTTCTGAATATGTCCTGAAGAACAGTCAAAGCTCTTTCTTCCTTTGGATTAAGTGCTACAAGGTACACCATTTCCAAAACTGCTCTAATGAATGCTTTGCGTACACATAGCAAGCATCATGTGTAAATTCTGTTTCAGGACTGTTGCTGAGGACCTATGAAGACTAATAACCATGTAATCACACGGAGGTAAGAGTCTCCCTCCAAGTGCTGCAGAGCCTTGCTGGGTTAGCAAGTGGATGGGCTTGTCATCCATTATCAGCACTCTCCCTGTCAAACTGCATATTAAGTTATTCTTGTAGGCGCTGGAAGGATGGTTCAGCCGCTAAGAGTGTTTGCTGCTCTTCAGAAAACTGGGGATCACTTCTCACCATGCACGCAACGGTAGCTCACAACTGTCTGTAACTCTAGTTCCAGAGGATCTGATGCCCTCTTCTGACCCTTGAACATTCCTGCATGAATGTGCCCATGAATATGACATACACACTTACACACACACACTCTAAGTCAATACTAAAAAAGTATTTTCTTGTAGCATAAAATTCTGTGCACAGTAGATAACAGACTTCCTTCATTTCCATAGCTCTGAAATCCTAGGGAGACACATAAAGATCTTCCATTTTTACAAGGTCATTTTCAGAATCAAGTTAGAAGCCATCATTTTATTCAGACTATATGAGGATGAAATGGTCTTTCAAATAGCTTATAAATCTAAAAACAAAGCTTGTTTTTCCTTTTTATGTTGCTATCTCTTCTCTATTCCTATAAATAAAGTTCTGACAAAACAAAAATAATAAGCCATCAAAACGGCTCAGTGGGTAAAGGTGCTTGCTGCCAAGCCTGATAACTGATTTGATCTCCAGAACCCACAATGGTAGGAGAGAACCAATTATTTCAAGATGAACTCCACACATGAACCTACACAAATACACACAAATAAATGAATGTATGTTAAAAAAAAAAAAAGAAAAAAAAATCCCATAAAATTAAAGCCACTACATCAAATTAAAATTACATATAAAGGATGTAGAATTAAAAAATTAATGCATATTTTGAAGAATAAGCACTCATTCACAGTATTAGCTTTTCAAAATCATGAGTCACAGTAAAACATAGTAGATGCACCATTGGCAATTTGGTACCTTGCCACTGCAGCTACGACAATTCTGGCTGCTAGCTCCTTGTAATACTCTGTTCGGACAATGTTACATCCATAGTGTCGCCGGGCAACATGCTGTGCCTTGGCATATAAGGAACTGATATCTGTAGAAGTCACTGATACTATGCCAAGGTTTCTTACGTTTCTGAATGCAGAGTCTAGGTAGTTCACTGATGTTCCAAAAGGATCTAGGTGTCTACAATCAAAACGAAAATACACACATCTAAGTTTGCATTAGTAATCCACATTATACCAGTATTATTTCTAAAGATAAAATTTCATGGATTCAAAAGTTTGCAAGGCAGGTGTGATGGCAACACACCTGTAATCCCAGCCCTCAAGAGATGGAGGCAGGAGAGTTTCCAGTTTGAGGCCAGCCTGGGCTAAAGGCTTACTGTCTCATACAATTGAGAGAGAAAAAAAAGTACATTGAACATCTATTAATTAGGTTTTAAAAGTAAGTAACAAAATAATCTAGGACATGTAAAACACATGGAAATAACTTAGCCTAAGATCAAAAGTTCATTCCCAGGAAGTCTGAAGTTTTTCTTATTGGATATTTCAGGCCAAGGCCAAAAACCTGTATTAAAATAAACCACCACAAATGTCTTTTATTTTAAAGCGCCCACCTCCAGGGGATCTGTTAAGTGTATATCTGACAAATCTTTTTCACTTACATGAAATCAAAAGATCTCAGGTGCATCAGCACATTGGCATCCATCCTGGTCACCTGGATGCCCCCCAGAGTGCCATCTTCTTCAAGGGCATCACCCTCCTTCTTTTCTTCCCGCTCTACCACCACTTTCAATTTGTTTAAGTGGCAGTTTTTCTGAATCAAAGTCACCGAGTTTTCATTCAAGTCATTAATTGTAACTTTGACCGCATTTCCAAGGTGTTTTGCCCACTGTAATCCCATTATTCCTTGGGAGAAACAGGGAAGAAGATGAATCTTTAAGTTAAAAAGTTTAATATTAATGACCAAAAAAGTGTTTTATAAGCAACACACACACACACACACACACACTCTCTCTCTCTCTCTCTCTCTCTCTCTCTCTCTCTCTCTCTTTCACTTATACGCTCACAATGATAGGAGACCATATTAAGAAGAGACTTGGCTGGGCATGGTGGTGCATGCTTTTAATTCTGGGCAGAGGCAGGTAGAATTCACAATCAGTGGGTTCGAGGCCATCCTGGTGTACATAGTGAGTTCCAGGTCAGCCAAGGCCACACAGTAAGACTCTGTCTCAAAAGAACACAACAACAAAAAAAGAAGAGCCTTAGACTTGAAACAATGGAAAGACATACTCTTTGGATTCTGATTTGAATTTTTTAAAATGTTTAAGTATCTAAGTAATTGTTGATATTAATGAATTCAGTCTTTATTTTCTAGGTATAATAATGCTACTATATCTTCACCTGAAAGAAAAAGAGCCTTACAGCTATTGAGGAACAGTCCTATAATCTCAGCATGTGGAAGCTAAGGCAGGAGGATCAGGAGATCAAGGAGTTGAATTCAGCCAAACATTGATACCTTGCCTGAGGTGGTGGGGGTTAAACCTTATATTTTAAGTAATCCAACAAATATGCACATAAAATAATATGTCCAGGATTTGTTTTAAATTAATGGGACTAAAGAGACTAATGAAAAGTGATCTGTGGAGATATTGATAAAATGAGACTGAGCATGACTGAATTATTTTTGAAATGACATATAAGAATCAATTCATTACACTCTTTTAAATAGAATCTTCTTGAAAAATATCATTAAAAAGCTGGAAAAAGCTTACCTTGAATCTTAAATTTTTTCTTTACGTGAAAACCTTAAAACCTTTTATCTTTTTAGATCTTCCTTTCTTTTTTCTTTTTTTTTTTTTGTTGGTTTTTCCAGACAGGGTTTCTCTATGTAGCTCTGGCTGTCCTGGAACTCACTATGCAAACAAAGCTGACCTTGGACTCAGAGAGATCCACCTGCCTTTGACTCCTAAGTGCTAGGATTAAAAGTGTCCACCACCATGTGCAGCTCATGAAAACATTTTGCTAGACATCATATCCATATAAGTTTCCTTTTTAAAAAATGACATTATGTAGGGGCTGGAGAGATGGATTATAAGTTATGAGCACTGGCTGCTCTTCCAGAGGACCTGGGCTGGAGTCCTAGCACCTGGCCTCTCAAGGTACTGCATGGATTTGATACAAAAACATCCATGCAGGTAAAATAAACAACAAAAAAAAAAACGTAAAAAAAATACACAATTATTATTTTTACTTACCAGTGGCTCCAAAGGCATCTAAACACTCCAAAGGTTTTCGTTCCTTAGCCAAAGCAGCCAATGTACAGAATATTATCTGACTAGAAAGAAGGAATAATATGAAGTAACTTTGCTGTACCATGGTTTCATCTTTGTGGAATTCTGAACACCTCATACCTACCTAATATACATTCCCAAATTAATACTTCAAAACCTGTAAGTTTTGTTAAGTTAAACTATGAATCTAACTGAATTTTATTTAACAAGCACTCATTTATTTAATAAAACTCATCTACCAGTCTGTTCAGGTTTAATTACATAAAGTTGGGTCTATTTTAGTCTTTGACTGAAAAACTGGGTTGGTAGAAAAAAGAAATATTTTGAGAAAATGTTAAAATTGATGACTTTAATCTTAATACACACGACACAGAGGTTAAAAGAAGTACTAAAACTCTGTCTTGAGATCACCCTCTCCCCCAAAACAAGATGTACTAAAAATTCTATCAGTATTTTCAATGTCTTACCGATTTAGTTTCATTTTGGGATTAAAATATGAATCTGTTTTCTGAGGTATTGAGTAGTTAGGAAAAACTTGTATATCTGTGTCTGCCTCCTTCAAAATTTCATTAGATGATTTGGTAGTAGAAGCTAAAATGGAAAGAAAAAAGATTACTACAAGATAATTGAAAAAATGTTAAATATCCAACATGATCCATTATAAAAAGTAACTTTATATTATTCTGTTCTAAAGCAAGTAGCTTGGTAGCTATAAAATAAAAAGAAAAGAAAGCCATAGAACAAATTTATTTCACTGTCTGTGGAAAGTGCCTAGGTAAGAATTTGGTGAATGCAGGGAAGTTTATTCACTTAAAATTCTGACTGTGTAACACTATTATCAGTATTATAAAATCCAAGAATACCAACAGATAGCACAAAATCCTAAAATATTTTTATGATTCACTAAGTACTACATTATGCTTTCACAGGTTGGCCATGGAGTATCTTGTAATAGTATAAAAATTGAGTATTTGTATGCTTGCTTTCTATTAGTTGGCTGAATAAAAATCTCAGTATTTTCTAAACATATTGAACTTAAGAACACCTTTGGGAGTCAGTTTCCCCTTGCTACCTTGTAGATCCAGGGATGGAACTTCGCTCATAGGCATGCATAGGACTTCTACCCATTAAGCAACCTCATGGGCCTCCCTTTCCCATAATTATAATTTTAAACTAAACAATGCATTCAAATGGCTATTAAGTAATGACAAGAACATTTTATATTTAGTATACATTATAATCCTTTAGCTATAACATCAAATGGAATACTGATGTGCATATGTATTAAATATTCAAAAAATGAGACATATGTAATTTGGAAAAATAATTACATCCTTTGGTTGTCCTTTTTTGGCCAATGTTATATTTAGGACATTAAGTGAGAACCATAGTTCCTTTGATAACAGCAACAAAAGTAAGCTTTTCTATTGTTGTGCACCCTTCTACACTCGCTGCACAGGCATGCCTTACATCTCAGAGTATCAGCTTTTGCAAATGATGCCCTGTGAGAAAATGAAATGGATACTCTTGGCCCTAAAGGCTAACTTCATTATCATTTTACATTCATATTTTTCATCCCTCAGAATAAAGGTCTTTATTTTGGGCATCCCTTTCCCACCATAAGTATGACAGTTATTGCTATAAAAGTCCTATGACTAGTTCTATATATGCCTATAATTCTATAATTTTTCATTATTTTCATTCTAAACTCATTAACATGCCTATTTGCAGTTTTTACAACATTTATTAATATTTGTTGAAGATAGTTGAATGTTTTTGGAAACCTCATAGAAAGAGAAAAACATGGGGCTGGACAGATGGCTCAGAGGTTAAGACCACTGGCTGCTCTTCCAGAGGTGCTGAATTCAGTTCCCTGCAACCACATGGTGGCTCACAACCATCTGTAGTGATATCTGGTGCTCTCTTCTGGCCTGCAGGTGTACATGCAGATAGACACTGTATTCATAATAAATAAATAATTTTGTTTTAAAAAAAGAAAAAATGTGAAGTAATGGATTACTTGTCAAATTATTTAGTCAAATCAGTATGTTTTAATTACTTATTGTCTAAAAAAAATAAAGGCCTAATTATTAATATGTTAACAAGACTGCTTAACTTACCAGCAATATATCTGGATTTAGTTTCTCCTTTATTCACATGGCGCGTAACATGTCCTAGCATGTCAGTCCTTCTGGTGATTGTTGCTGAACAAATGATGCAATGATAATGGGCACCCAATTTACTGGATATCTATCAAATGGATTATTTCATTTAAACAGGTTACTAAGGCAATGAAATGCAAGTTTCAAGCTGCAATATGTTAGTGACTACTGGATTTAATAGTATAAAAGGTGGTGTTTATTTCTGGATGTAACTTTGAAAGGATAACTTCGTCAGTGATACGCTTTGTTACAGCAGGCCAGAAATTAGCTTTTCTAGTTTTTCCATTAATTCTAATCAGTAAACCAATACACTGTTATTTTATATAAGCTACACCTATACTGGGATGATGCTAACAGTGCTGTTGCTGCTCATTTTAGCTGGCTTTCTTAGAAAATAAGACCTGATCTGAAGCATTTGTAGACTTCTTGATATAACTACTTTACTAACACTCAGTTTCAAGATATGCCATGACATAGCTGGGCATGATGGTGTATGCCTTTAATCCCAGCATTCAGGGAGGCAGAGGCAAGCGAATGGATCTCTGTGTAGCTTCTGGCTGTGCAAGAATGAGGAACCGAGCCTGGATCCCTGGCACCTACATGAAAAGCCAGCTCTGCTGGTGTGTTACTAGAACCCCAGTACTGGAGAGGTAGAGACAGATCCTTAGCGATAAATGGCTGTCCAGCCTGGCTGAATCATTTAGCTCCAGGCTCAGTAAGAGACTCCATCTCAAAAATAAGGTGGACTATGACTGAGGAAGACATCAATGTCAAACTCTGGCCTCTACACATACACGCAGACACAGAAACATACATATAGTGTTGTGAGCGAGCACATACGCGATCGCGCGTGCGCACGCACACACACACACACACACAGAATTTAACAAACTGCTTTCTGGGTAGCATCACTAAAACAATTTTATATGCTGTATTCCCTGTCAGTCAGACTGATTTTAACAGTAAACATACGCACTTCATCCTGGGCTACAGAGCATGTTCAAGGCCAGGCGTCTCCATATTGAGACACCATCTCAAAAACCAAAAGTCAAACTAAAAAAAACCCCTCTGGTTCTTGAGTGTTAAAGTTAAGCTTTAAAATAACAACAGTGGGAAGGACAACATGAAATTGAAAAATGAAGGTATTTACTAGCTCAGATATCTGAAGGTTCTTCATCAAAATTTATTACCAAAGCAAAAAAATTTTCTATTTAAAATGTTCTTAATTAATAGATAATTTTCATTTTGAGCATAAAAGTAATACATCTAACTGAAATAAAGAACTATAAAATGAGGGCTGGCAAGGTGGCTTAGCAGTTAAAGCCACTAGCTGCAGAACTCAGGTTTGATTCCTATCACCTACATGGTGTCTTCCAACCATCTGTGATTCCAGTTCGAGGGGATCTGATGCCCTCTTCAGACCTCAATGGGCACTGGGCATGGAAGTGGTACACAGACATACAGGCAGAACACCAATACACAGAAAAGAAAATGAAAGAGAAGAGCAACAATATTTTTTCTGTACATTTTATATTAATCCTTCATAATCACCTGAAAGCACTGAGCTAAGGATTTTAAAGTAAACCAGGATGGGCTAAGTTGGTAGCTTGTAGCTACCAACATGTAGCTCAGTTGGTAGAGTACTGGAATATGCACAAAGCCTTGGGCTCAATCCCCAGAACTGTATAACTGGAAGTGATGGCACATGTCTGTCATGGCAGTACTCAGGAAGTAAGGATGGGAGGATCAGGAGTTCAAGGTCAGCCCCAGCTTCACAGTGAATATGATGTCAAGTGTGAGCTATAAAGGATTCTGTCCCAAAAATAAAAACCATACTGTTGCACATGAGTATTTTAATTTTAAATCTAGACTAGATCCTTGACCTTTGGCAAAGGTAATTTTAAAGCAAATAAAAATTGTGCTTTCTTTAAAGTCAACCAACTTAAAAGCAAGAATCTACCCTCTGCTTACCTGTTCTCCAACAATGGTTGGTTTTACTGGCCGACAAGCTAAGTGACAGATGCACATCCTGTAGCCTAGAAAGAAAAAGTTACTACTGTGTTACTACTGTGTTACTACTGTGTTACTACTCATTAAACATCCTATGGACACTGAAAATTATAAATATTTTTAATTTTCTAAAAATAATTAGGATCACCAGGTGTGCTGGCACATGCCTTTAATCCCAGCATTCAGGAAGCAGAGGCAGGTAGGTGAATTTCTGTGAGTTTGAGGCCAGCCTGATCTACATAGTGAGCTCCAGGTCAGCCAGGGCTGGGTAATGAGACCCTGTCTCAAAAAGAAAAAGAAAAAAAAAAAAACAAAACAACAGAATAATTAGGATTATTCTTCTATTTGTAACATAATTATTTGAAGAACATTTATTTTATAAACGAGATAAGCAGATATATCAATATAAACAAACAGAGACTTATGTTCAATTTCTAGTTCTGTTAAGATGGTTTGTTCTTAGGCATTTAGCTCCTTAAACTTCATCATCTTTGCTTCATTCATAGTTCTTCATGACCATACCAGATAATCTTGTTTTTCCTCCTACCTTTTAGAAAATGTTTATTTTTGAATTTATTATTCTTAGTTTTGGATATTGATCTTTACATTTTTTTCTATATCCTAAAACACAGATATTTTTCTGGCTTGGATGGTGGCTATGTAGTTTTCCTCTAGAAACTCTTAACTTCTTTCATGGGTTCAATGGTTTTACGGGAAGGAATGTCAAATTGCAGTGTTAGTAACTAAGTTATTCTCGACACCAAGACCCCTAATTCAAATGCCCAATAAGGAATTTAAATTGGTTACTGGTCATCTGAAAACTCATCTGTCAAGATACTGGGTATTGTGAAGCGCGCCTGAAAACCCAGCACTCGGGAGGTAGAGGCAGAACGGTGTCATTCTCAGCTTTAGAGCTACTTATAGTCAGCCTGGGCTATTTGAGAGCCTGTCTTACAACAAACCAGTATTCCTTTCTTCAATTCATTCTTTCTTTTTTTGGGTAATTCTAGGGATAAGTTCTTGAATTTTCTACATGTTAAGGAATTACTCTACCACTGAGCTATATCTCAGTTTCTATGAACTTTCTTGAACCAGATCTTTTAGTTTTATTTTGCTTACGACATGACTTATAACTTTCCTAACTCAGTCTGTTACTTACGTTTCTTTTATTCTAATGCTTTACATCATTTCCCCCAATTGCTGAAGTGTCCAAGAACTCAGCTCCCGCTGGCTTTTTTCTATTGATTCGCATACCTGAATCAAATCTCATGGCTTTAAATACTACCTGTATTCTGACGTCTCCCAAATGTGTACGTCTAGCCCCAAGTACTCCCTTAAGTTTCACATTCATATAGCCTTCTAGGACACTGGATGTCTCCACTTTGATGCATCTCTACTTTATAAAGCTAAGGTCCTGGCCTGCTTCCCATATTTTCTCTGATTGCAGCTGCCATTGGCTCAATAAGGGGCAACTCCACTTTTCTAATTACTCAAGTCTCAAACCCAAGCATTTGTTGCTTATCTCACATCTCTTGTTCCTTCTGCATTACATCCCTTTAAAATATGCCAGTTACTTTAGAACAAACTATGACAAAAACTATCATGACCCCTTCCTGTTCCCAACTAGATCCCCTTCTACCTTCATGTCTTTAAAAAAATTATGATCCAGTGAATTTCATTAATTGTAAGAGGGTAGGTGAGGGTTTGTGTCAGAAGCATAGGCATTTTACTAGTGGCTAAGCTACTGAAGAAACATCTCTTCCATTCTCAGCAACTGTTACCTCAGTGAGAGGATGCTGACTGGTCCACATGTTCAATTGTCTGGAGAAACCAAAACCAAACCAACCAACCAAACAAAAACAAAACAAAAAACCTAAACAACTCTAACGTTTGCTACAATATACAGAATGTATTCTTTTCAGTGGCTGCATTTGCTATGTATATACCACAATGTAGTTAATATTCCCTTTAATTCCAAGTTTTTGCCACAAAGTACATAGTGTAATGTATATCCTCACGTATCTATCTATGGTTGTGTTTCTACTCTTGTCTATTGATTATTTTACTGATATGACACTTACATAAAAAAATATATGCAATTTAAATGTAAAAGATGATGCCATTTCTCCCCCAAAACTATGATACTTCCCGGACTCAGAATCTAGTTTCTTAACGTGAAACTTTCCTTATACTTAGTGTATTTTTAATATTTTCCTTTCATCTACAGTAAAGCCTGTGATTTCTGAATATTTATTTATTTCTATCAATATCCTGAAAGTTTTCAACTATAAAAATTATTTTTTTCTAAAATTAATACCATTTTAAAATTTTTTCTTGCTTTTCTGCAATTACATTCTCTTTAAAATTATAGGTCAAACAGTAGCTGTTCTACAAGAGGAAAAGAAGCTTACCAGAATATTGTTTAATGAGCAGCAGGGATGCCTAGGTCAGAATTACCCAATATGCCATAGTCACAGATGGCTAATAAATGTCTACTAAATTAAATGTCATGTGTTTACTGCCTACAAGACTGTATACTGTCTTTATCAAATACATTAAGAGTGGAGACATTCATCATAATATAAAGTGAAAATACTTGATGTTTACAGTAAAATTCCAATTTAACAAATGTCAAATTTCATGTAAATTACTCTAAGTAAGCAGAAAAATACTAACCTTCAAATTCAACTGAGATTTTCCAGTGTAAATTCTGAAGGTGTCGACGAAGCTTATGACTACTATAAGCTCTGAACTTTTCTTTAGGGCACAGTGGGCAAGTTTTACTGTTTTCTAAAAAAGAAGAAAAAGCACAGACTATCAGCTATTAATGCCTGGAATCAGCTACAAAGTAACAGGGAAACTCCCCATAGATAGACTTTCTTAACTGTAAGAAGAAAACATTTCTGATCGTGGATGTCCTTCATGAGAACTGCAGCATAGAAATGACTATTTTTCAGCCTTGAAACTCTGCTATCTGTGGCTAGTTGATGATGGTTGTTGCCAGCAGGAACAGTAAAGTTCTTAAAGTGATATTTCTTTCAGCTGAACTTTTGCCAGAGAGACCATTCAGCACCTTAGAATGGAAAACCAGAAATATGTATGGCATTTCTAGTAGGGTAGAGGTGGGACAGAGATGCTTGAGCACCTGCTATGGTACTTCCCTATTATTCTGGCAGCAGTAATGACAGCCAAAACACTGGTAAGAAAAACAGAAGACAGAATGTAATAATTGCTATTCCAAGACAAGGGACCTGGTAAAATCATCATATCCTGAATTTGACTGTTTCACTACATTTATACATTTATATTACTATATTTATATATAATCTGTATATTCCATTATTTATGAAGTATTCCTGAAAAAGACTATATGGAGCATCAAAAGAGATCATTAACATCATAATATAGTACACTTCAAATAACAATTCTGATAAACAGTGTCCAAGAATGAAAATCTCAGGCTGGCAAGATGGCTTAGTGCTAGAAGCTTTTACTCGTTGCCAAGTCTGACCACCTGTGTTCAATGCCCAGCCCCCACCAATAAGCAGGTAAAGAATTAAAGTCCCAAATTTAAGCTTAAAGCAATAAAACATATACAAGTAGTAGATCACTAATGGTATTTTAAATTTAACAAATACCTTTCACATATAGAATGCATGAATAAGTATAATTAATGTTTGTATATACATTGCCTATTTTAAATAAACATGAAAACTAAGCACTTAGAATATAGCAGCTGAGATGGCCTCAGTCTGATCTCTGGAACTCACATGGAAGGAAAAAACTGGTTTCTAAATATTGCCCTCTGACTTCCATATGCATGATATGGAATGCTCTTCTCACCAAATAAATAAAATAATTAAAGAAAGAAAGAGACTAGCGGAGCAAAGGCAGGAGAGTGGGGCACTGACAACACTTTAGAACTTTTGTATCAACTATGCTGCTTCCCTTTTACACCAGGGGATTTTAACTGCTATGTTATTTATTTTTATTTTAAGTGTATGTGTTTTGCCTGCATGTATGTCTATGTATTGTGGACATGCCTGGTACGTATAGTGGCCAGAAGAGGGCATTGAATTAGCTGGAACTGGAGTTATAAATGGCTGTGGGTGCTGGGAATTGAACCCAGGTCCTCTGGAAGAGCAGCCAGAGCTCAGCCAGCACTAAGCCACCTCTCCAGTCCCTGCTATGTTATTTAAAACACTGTTGTGGAATGTCCAAAACTTGTTGCTAATTCAATTACCACCTTATAGAAACGCAGAACTTAAACATGAAATTGTAATTTCCTCAAAGAGATTATTTTACTACTGTTCTAGTCAACGAGAATAAATTTATTAATAGTTTTCATGAGCTGAAAAATGGTGATCCATTAAAAAATGAATGTCTCAAAATAAAGAGAAAAAAAGAAAAAAACAGAACAATGACAACAAAAATATGAGATTTTGTCTCAAGAAATCAAAAACAAAAGGAACAAAATAGAAATTAAGTGTGTGGCCCCAAACATGGAGATACCTGAATCCAGATTATCTGAGTTCAATGAACTGGCAGAATCAACATCTCCTTCAGTCACCAGAGCTAACTTCTCCAGGTCAGCAAGCCGCCTCTGAATTGAGATGTGTCTCTCTGAAAAGAAATTTTAAGAGTTAGAAGATTGTCTTTGCAATTTTCCCCTTAGTTATTCACACCATACAGAAGTTTATGCTTTTGTTTTCCATAGTATAGAGTCTAGGGGACTGCTATTGCTCATGGGTAATGCTAAAAGCTCGGTTTAGACAATGGCAAGCACACCTCAGAATGCAGAATGTTAGAGAGAGAAAAACTCTACCGTGCACCATTAAGCTTTAAAATTTTAGCCAAGGCAATTCCATGGAAAATGTTTCTCCCTTGGGGCTGCAGGTATAGCTCAGTTGGCAGAATACTTGCCCAGCATCCAGAAAGCTGAGCCTGATCCTCAGTACCACAGAAATGGGGCACAGTGGTGCATAACTGTAACCTCAGCACACAGGTACAGACAGGAGGACAGGAAGTTTAGAGTTATCTTCAACTACAAAGTATATTCAAAGCCAGCATGGGACATATACATAAAATATATATTACATAAACATATATATTTACATTTACATTTATTTATGTGGCTTCAGGTTTTGGAGGGAGTAAATGATTTGAATGAGACCATGTCAAAAAAAAATTTCTACCCTGTATAAAACAGCTTAAGAACTATAATCCATGTTTTGTATCTTCAAAGAACTATAATTACATGTGGGAGATTAACATGCTATTTTTAAACTGTAATAGGAGGTAAAGTGAAATGAGTAGCAGATGTAAAGGTAATATGAAGCCATGAAATCACTAGTTAATTCCAACAAGCAGCTGAGAACATTCTTGCTAGAATTAACAAATCATGAACATAACTTCATAACTTAGATTATAAAAAGATTTCAATTAAGTACACTTGGTGACTAGTCTTATAAATCCAAAGTAGCCTCATGAACAAAAAACTTGTTGTCCTGTTGCACACATATATCTGAGCTATGAAAGAGAACTCCTTGCATTTTAAATGTGGTAGTTTAATTTGTACAAATGAATTGTTTTTTGATCATTACTATCAGATCTAAAACCTAAAGATACTTTTTTCTTTTTGACTTTATCTCATTATACGTTTTTGAACAAGGCCTGGTAAATGAAGTTAATCAAGCCAGCATAGTGGCACATACCTGTAATCCCAGCATCTGGGAGACTGAGGTAGAAGGATAATGAATTTGAAGCCAGCGTGGGCTACACAGTAAATTCCAGACCAGGCTTAGAAGTGTAGGGAGCTCTTATTTCAAGAGAGAAGAGTGAAAAGGTAATAATACAATATTTGCCACTCTTTGCTTTTGCTTAGAAAATTGTCTTTTGAGCAGAAATGTCTGATGGTGTCAGGTTCCAGAACTAGTGTAGAAAATGTGTTACTACATTCCAAATGTCTGTTTTAAAAACTACTTAACTATCCTTAGTGCCTGCTGAGTACCACCTCCTACAGTTGACATTTAGCCACCAAAATGATGAATCAAGTACAACTACTGCCTTTTTCTTGTTTACATGAGAAAGACAAAAAAGGGTCACAGATTATACACATGAGTGAACAAGTAGATTGAGAGTGAAGCTGGGAGAATAGACAGGAAGATGGCAGCATCAAAAATTGAATTAAAATTCTTAGGGCTTTAAATCATTGAACACATTGAGAGCCCTGAGGTTTATTCCAGCACCTCTTCCTCTTTGCAGTGTCTGCCAGTCAGTTAGCATCATCTGGTCTTATTTATTCAGGTCCCCACTTTGTAAATGCTCCTTTCCCTGCAAAGCACATGCATTCTTCATCCTTAGAAAAAAACAATTGCAGTTTCAACTGTCTCCTTTTCTGCACTACCGAAGTTCCTGAGAAAACATCTACATTGGTTTTCTGAATTTACTTTCTCTTTTTATTTGGTTATCTTTTCTCTGCAGTTTTTAAAGACCCACAGGAAGCTGGGCAGTGGTGGCACACACCTTTAATCCCAGGAGGCAGAGGCAGGTGGATCTCTGATCTAGAGGCTGCATAAAGACATCCCTACTCAACTATTCTATTAGGGAGTTAAAAATAGAAGAGCCTACTAAATTAGAAAAAGAAAACTTAAAATGATCTAGTACACTACTGAAGGAAATTAAAAACCTGTCTGAAAATTCATGTCCATATGTATATGTGAAATCACTTTCTGGTTCAACATGGCAGATATCATTTGTATTTAAAAAAGGCAACTTGTTTTTTATAACATATTAATAATCAAGGAAGCAAAGCTACTGTTAACGTAGATGAGCCCAATATACTAGAAGGTTCTTTCACAACTTCTGTTACTTTTTCCTCAATTTTCAACTCTACTTCAGACTAACCGTCTTCATTTTGCCTGGCTGCTATGACTGACTTCAAAGGACTAACTAGATCACCTATAAACACATTTTTAAATGATTAGTGTGTTTAAAGTTTCTGCAACAACACACACTCTTGAAACTTCACATTTGCAAATTTTAGCACAAAGATGCAAAAGTTTCCAACACCCTTCCTCCAACACTTAGACACACTTTTGAGACAATGTCTCCTTAAGTAGCTCAGGTTGACCTCTAAATTTACCAGCCCTCCTGCTAGTCTCTGGAGTGCTAGGATTTCAGATGTGCCCTACCACAGAGCTTCTATGTCAGTGTTAAGGTATTAAAATGGTAAGAAAATGAAGAAGGCATGCATTCGCCAAACTGCTTAACATACTTCTGATTTAAACATAATCAGGAGGGTAGGAACTACTCCCTTAACAGTGTAAAATTCCCTATCCATCAGACTGTAGGTAACAAAGGGGGTGGGGGTTGGGGAAGAAAGGTCTTATTTTGTACTAAAAGCTGTGATCTCAAATGATGAGGAGCCCTACTGGCTGATTTTGTCCTTCCTGTTATCAGCCCTGCTACTCTTAAATGTGGTTTTAGAACTGCAAAATAGTTCTCTTAGATTATGACTGTTTTACATACATCAAATTCCAAATTGGCCTAGAAATACTAAATATGATTAATTTCTCCTAAGATAATTCTGAAGCAGTGTAAAGATCAATTTATGGCCCACAGGATTTGCTGAGAGAACTTGCTGAATTTTTCTTAGGCCCACTGTACCAACTGTTAAGAAGATCCTTAAAATGCTAATCAGCAGTCTTGTGTTTCCTATATGATCCAATAAACCACCACTCAGAACACATATAAAAGCATCCCAGGAATAAAAACATGGGCTATTAAGTTTTCACGATCGCCTTCCTATGGAAAGAAATACAATGCTCAATTGACACTTAGCAGATTCTTCTCCATACTACACATGGGTTTCAAATTCTTCTCGGAAGCGAAAATTTAATAAGAAAATTTAATAAGACAAATCTACCTGTGTGTGTAAGTCCTGACTGAAAAATTAGTTTACCGTTTCTAAATCTTTACAGGGTCTACTACCTTAGAAGCTGCAACACAGTTGAAAGGAGTTTTTTTTTTTTTTGTTTTTCTTTTTCTTTTTTAACTATTTTAGACTGGGTCGAGATGGAAACTACTAAAGACATTAACCGACACAACCACTAATCTCCTTGTTTATTTTCATCCGCATCACCCTGGCCTTCACAGCTCCTCCATAATGTCCTTGTATTACTTTTACTCTTACCTGCCGCTCTGGTTTCTCCTTACCCCATTTCCCTAAATCTGCCTTTCCACATTAAAAACCACCCCGGAGAAGGGCCTCCCGTATTCCCGAGCAAGGCACGGTTTCTTGCTTCTCTGCGGCAGAAAGACCAGGCCGTCTGCACTTACTGCTTTCAGCCTCCTCAGGGACAGAGGCTAGGGACGGGGACAGGGCCGGAGCCGGGGCCGGGGCAAGGGCTGGGGCTGGATCCGAGTCCGGCGTCGGAGCCGAGTCCAGAGCCGAATCTGCGGCCGGAGCTGGGACCGGAGCCGAATCCGGGGCCGGGGTCGGGACCCTGACCTGGGCCTCCTTCTCCTCCTGGGGTAGCAGCTCCTCCTCCGCCATATTCTCCATAGTTACGGCCTCCGTGCCCGGGGACGCGGAGGGGACTCGCGGCGGAGTGGAATAATTGACGCTAATGCCCACAGGGCTAGATCCAAGGGCGGGGAAGCAAAAGGGAAGGCCGTACGCGTGCCACAGTCAAACGGCGAAGCGCCAGGGACCCAACCCTGTCAGCAGAAAAACTGAAAGCCAGTGGCAGCGGTTCGAGCCTTCGCCGGCTTCCCCTTCCCCGAGGCGTTACGACGCCACCGCGGACTGCGCAGAAGCGTGCCGCGGCCAGTGTCCAATGGGTAGAAAGAGTTTCGTTTCCTCGGTCTCCGTCTCCGCATCCCCGGCTGCCACCGAACCGAGCTAAGACTACAACATCCAGGAGCCATCGCGCCTCCTGGGCGGAGCTCAGTTCCGGTCCTTAGAGGAACTACATAAGGATCTCCGCGAACTCTAGAATTTCCTGGAGCGTTCGGCGTCTGGCTGGGTCCGAGCACAGAACTACATTTCCCAGCGTGCAGCGGGGTTTGGAAAGCCGCTTTTGGCATCCGCCGGGGCCGGAGAGTCGCAGCTGTTGCCGCTGTGCCGCGGATCCTGGTAAGTTAGGGTGTTCGGGGTGCGTGGGCTTTTCGCTGGGCGGCAGCCTTTCATTCCTGGTCTCAGGGATTCGGACGCAGGTCGGGCTCCCGGCCCGCGAGCTGAGGTGTGGGCCGGACGAATCTGTGGACTCTCTGTGGAGGGTGTGGCCGGGAGCCAAGTTGCTCCAGCAGGACCTGAGGCGGGGGATGGCGGCTTCCGAGGGGGTGGGCCTAGGCAGTTTAGGAGTCGCAGAACCACTTTTCTGTCAAGTCCCCGAGGTAGTGTCCTGGCTCTCTCCCCCAACTTCACTCACGCTTGTGACCCGACCACTCTTCTCACTTTTTATTTTGCTTCAGCCTTAACGTTACCAGAGTAAGTGCGGCGTGATCGTAGGAGATTGTTTTTGCTGTTTAGACCGGTTCTTAGGTTTTTAGTAACTAAGGTCTGCACTTCCGTTCGCTTTGATGCATTTCAGATTCTCCAAGGTATATGACTAGGGAAGCTTTCCTCTGCGCCTCAGATTTTGTATGTTTTTTATCCTGGACTTGTTTGTCACCGAAGCTTTACTTTTTTTTCCCCCCCTCTTTTTATTTCTAATAAGCACAGTGGAGCAGACGAAAAAAAAAAGGCCAACTTGAATTTTCTTTTTTTTTTGGCCCCACTTAGGACTGTCTTGAACTTTCAGGGCAGCATCGAAGTTTCTCAGGTACAAAACTCACACTTCCAGATAATAAAGCTAAGTCCTTGCCCACTGGTCTATTCCTCAGTTGGGAAACTGAAAGAGATGGTGTGTGATTATTTGGCTCCTTGAAATTCCGTCAGGGAGGTCACTTTTTCGTTGCCCTTCTTAGTTGGAGTGTTTTTCCTTCACCAGTTTAATGTAAACAGATTGTCACCACTAATCTTTTGCAAATTCTAAAGGCCCTAAGGGCTTGGAATGTGCTTATCTCAATAGGAAAGGTTAAGTACAAGTTTGTAGGTTAGAGGTCTGATACGGAAGTACAAATAAAGCCTTTTTAAACCATTGCTTCTATTTGACTAGTATTCCTATATGTAGAGTTGACTGACTATTTAAGAGTCAATTAAAAGTGAGATAATAGCACTGATTACAATTTATAGAAATGGTAACTAGGCTTGGAAAGATGGCATAGGCTGCTCTTCAGGACTTGATTTCAATTCCCAGCACCCACACAGCAGCTCACAACCATCTGTAACTTCAGCTCCAGGAGATCTGACACCTTCACACAGACATGAATGTAGACAGAGTGCACATAAAAGAAAAGTAAGTTCATTATGTTTATGTAAAAAAGAAATGACATTTTTAATTTCCAGAGCACCCACCTCACCCCTTACTCCTCCACTCTTGGCAGCTGTAGTGGTGTTGAGTATGAAACCCACGACTTTGGGTGTGCATAACAGGCAATGTATCTTATCTCTAAATGACATTCTTAGCACTTGATTTCCTTTTTTAATTTATTTAAGATTAAATGCTTAATTTGAAAGCCTTATTCGATATTTTAACCTCATTTAATACCAGCTAGAAAACAGATGACAAAAATTAAATGTTGGCATGGGGATTCAGTGGACAATATTGTGGACCTGTTAGTGAAATAAGCTCTTTCCTCCCCAAGTTGCTTTGGTCATGGTCTTTCTTACAGCAATAGAAATCCTAGCTAATGTACACTATGCAGTAATATCCTGTTGATTTTATAGATTAGTCTTGTTTGTTGTGGAAGACACCATATAAGTATTATAGTACCGAGCTGCAGTACTGTTGGGGAACCATCTATGGCAGAGCTTCTTAGAATTTTTCTACCTTTGATCCTTTTTTGCTTAAGAAGTTTTTATTGGACCCAGGGATATAGAGATCTAAAATATATACAAATCAAACATTTGCTGAAAATAAATTTATTTTAAAATAATTTTTTGGTATATGATTTTACCATTTACTAAAAGTAAAAGCAAATTTACATGCTAATGAAAAATGCTTATTTTTACATAAAGGATTAAATCTTGACTGAATATTTGATACTACAAGAACATCTTCAACTTTTCAGAGTTGATTGATTGATAGTTTGAATTTTCTAATCAGTGCTGAGAACATTGTTTCACATAATATGTAATGCTTACGAGCAGAAGTATGTCTGGAATCATTTTAAAAAATGTTAGAAAGTTTTTTTAATCTCAAACGAAAATTAATTTAACTTTTTAAAACTATGAAACTAAAGTTAGCAAGTCAGACAGCAATTTGCACACAAACATTCTAAAACAATACAGTCCAAAGATAAAGTAATTTAATGCTTACATGCTGAAGAATTGCTGTAGGAAGATACTAAAATTCTGTTTTCTGTAATCAAGCCATTATTAATGTTTATAAGAGCATAAAATTTTGCATGTCCAGAAAAAACACTGCAGTTCATGACGTACAGTAGCCACAAATACAAGCCAAGATATTTCAGGCTGCATTAGCGGGGGTCTTGTGGGTATGAGGGCATGAGAACTGCAAAGTGTACATATACTCTGTTCAAGGCAGCAAAGAAGTCACAGGATAGAGTGCTGGTGAGTATAGTCTGAAATACCTAGGGTTTATTACACATGAGTTTCAGTTTTTTAGTCCTTGTTCAGAAACCTTCTAATGTTGTCAAAATAAGGTGGTAACCCCTAGTTTAAGAAGCTGGAATCACACTCAGTCCATCTCAGTGAGTTTGTTAATTTGCATAAAAGGAATGTGAATTTCATGCTCATAAGATATAAAATATGTAGTAACACATGGATGCTGTGCTTGCTGGTTTTAAGTCGAGTTGACATAGGCTAGAGACATCTGAGAAGAGGGAATCTTTTTTTTCAATTGTTTTTTTTCCTCTTTTTTATTTTTTATTTATTACAATTTATTCACTTTGTATCCCGACTGAAGCCCCCTACAGCTTCCTCTCCCATGCCCCTCCCCCAGTCCACTAATAGGGGAGGTCCTTCTCTCCTTCCATTTGACCCTAGCCTATCAGGACTGGCTGCATTGTCTTCCTCTGTGGGGTAAGGCTCCTCCCCCCTCCCCCAAAGGTTGGTGATCAAAGGGCCAGCCACTGAGTTCATGTCAGAGATAGCCCCTGTTTCCTTTACTAGGGAACCCACTTGGATACTGAGCTGCCATCTGTGCAGGGGACCTAGGTTATCTCCATCTATGGTCCTTGGTTGGAGTATCAGTCTCAGAAAAGAATTTTTTGCCCAGATTTTTTGGCTCTGTTGCTCTCCTTGTGGAGCTCCTGTCCCCTCCAGGTCTTTCTATCTCCCTCTTCTTTCCTAAGATTCCCTGTACTTTGCTCAAAATTTGCTTATGAGCCTCAGCATCTGCTGTGTAGCTTGCCACTGCCTTCCAAATGCTGAGAGATCTTATTTTATACTTTAATTATTTGGCTCGTGAATGACCAGGAGTAATTGGAAGTATGTGGATTGTAGCCTTTGTTATGTTCATATTGTAACTGCCAGCTGTTGCTCTTTTGACATCACTTTCATGTTGTCCTGCCCCAACAGATATGGTGATGTTAACAGTCTTTGGCCACCATATCTTAGCACAGGATGCTGCTCTGTACTACCAGTGCCCATAAGCTTGAAACTGTTTATGACCATAAGGTATGTCTATGCTTGTCTTACAATTTCTTTTCTGTCTTTTTTTTTTGGGGGGGGGTATTTTGTTTTGTTTTTGGTCACTGGCTAATGTTATTGCCTTTGGTCTAAAACAGCTGGAAATGTAAAACTGGGTTAAGAAATGGACAGAGAACCTGTGATTTAGGAAACAGTCAGAAGTAGTTCAGAATAAAAAAGTTGATACACTGAGGATATGAATTTACTCATTCACTCACCCAGTCATTCATGAATATTTCTCTTAACTTTTGCTTTGTTCTTTTACATAGAATCTTACTCTGAAGAGCTTATTATGTAGCTCTGTCTGGACTTGTAGCAATCCTCCTGCTGTATTTTCTGAAGTGCTGGGATTATAGGCATACTCTATTTGTCCACCAATGCAGCACACTTTTCAAGGAACTCTAGGTCTAGTAAAAAGCTAACCAGATAGGTATTTATTTAGTCCTATATACAACCTTGTGCAAAGTAATTTAAGATTTTTGTTACTTACTGTGTGTGTATAACTGTGGGAGCATGCATGTCACAGTGTGTGCGTGTAAATGAGAGGGCACTCCTACTGTTCTGCCCAGTTCACGAACCCCAAAAGACCAGGAAGAACTAGACTCCGCTGTAAGTACATGAGGTTCTTTTTATTGTAAATTACAAGCTGCAGCTTGGGCCCACACCCCCTACCGCCGAAGTGATGGGAGCTGATGGCCCTGTGCTCAGGTTATTTGGGTGTTTTAAAGATTCTGGTCCCTCCCAGCATGCCCAAGGCAGGGGCGATTCCTGCCTGGCAAGCATCTATTGGTCAAAATGCTACATTTTGAATTGATTGGCTATAGGAAGGTCCCCAGACCATAATAACCTGGGTTATCCCTCCCTAGGGGGATGGGCCAGTTTCCTAGCAACTGTTATCTCTAGTGGGTGGGGAAAGAATGCAGTAAGGTGGTCCTTCCCCTCAGGGCATTACTAGATTTCTCCACCCACCTAGTTCAGGTCTTAATTAATAATAGCTGCTAATTTTTAATCTTTTGGTCTCTCATTTCCCCCTTTCCCATGATCATTTGAAAACCCAATCTTGGGTCTTCCAGATATGATCCCTTGTATCCTATAGATTTGCCTTTTTACAATGGGATCTGAGTACCATTAGTGTATTGTTCTCAAGCATTTCTTTATGAAAGCCATCAAGCAATTGAAAATACAAGGCCCAAAGATAAAAATCAAAATGAGTAGGGGTCCCTTCAGGTTGGATATAGGGGTAGTAAGCCAAAAAGAACTATTATCTTTTTCTCTAGTGTCTCTCTAGGCTTTTAGCCCAGTTGTTCCAGTTGCTGCAATATTGGTTTCCATTTCAGCTAAGTAGATGCCCAAGATAATAGCTGACAATACCAAAAATAGCCATTAGGTGCTGCTGATGATACAGCAAACACTGTGGAGCATCCACAATCCCCCCACAACCAAAAGTCCTAACATTGTGATCAAATAAGTTTTAGAACCAACTGCATAACATAACAGTACAGAACAATTTTAAACTGTACGAATTATTCTGGCCACACCAAACCTATCAGCCAGAATTCTTCCCCGTAAAAGAGCATAAAAAAAAACATTTTGCAATGAAGAATCACCAGCCTTTTAAATGAATTATAACATATTTTTAAATACAGTTCTTTCTCAAATCATATGAACTCTGACTTTTTATAATACATTCACTAACCTTCCGCAACATTCTATATACCTTCAGGTTCCTAGCTTCGTTCTTCTGGCTTAACCAGACATTCTTATTTTAGATAATCTATTTTATTTTTTAAATATCTCTTGCTCTCTCCCTTGCTTTTCAGACAACATAAAAACTCTCATCAAAATCCTTTCCATCCTGACATGACCTGCTGGAGCCCAGCGTCCACAATTTGCTTTTTATAGACAAAGCAAAAACAAGTTACGTTAATACAAAAAGAAGTTCTGAAACTGCCAAATTTTTTTTCTAAAATTACTTCCCTTAGCAGATAATATAAAGATAACATAAACAAGGAGATTAGTGGCTGTGTCGGTTAATGTCTTTAGTAGTTTCCATCTCGACCCAGTCTACAATAGTTAAAAAAGAAAAAGAAAAAAAAAAAACAACAAACTCCTTTCAACTGTGTTGCAGCCTCTAAGGTAGTAGACCCTGTAAAGATTTAGAAACGGTAAACTAATTTTTCAGTCAGGACTTACACACACAGGTAGATTTGTCTTATTAAATTTTCTGTAGTGTATTTTCGCTTCCGAGAAGAATTTGAAACCCATGTGTAGTATGGAGAA